GCTCATAGCGCACTCTTCTGAGCCTGTTTCTATAGTCTTCTTAGCAGCAGGGAGGGGACCAGCCTGAAGTTGCTGAAAGAGTCCTTTGCTGGCAGGGTGCTGAGAAGGCAGGACTGCAGCATGCCTGAGCCCCACCCTGCCCCCAAATGCACTGAGTTCATCCATCCTAGTGCTTCCCTGAGCGCCACCCCCTCTCACTGCCCCATGTCAGACAAGCCAACTCAGCTTTCCAAATCAGCTGTGCAGAAGGCTTGCCCTACTTATTGGCAGAAAACCCATCTCATGTAGCTCCCATCTCTTGATGGATGGAGCGTCATAAGTTCATTTGGTCCACTCCCTTCTTCATGCCCAAATTTCATCTAAATTGTCGCCCACCTTTCCCTGAATGATACAAGGATGGTGAGTCTATGGGTACACATGGAATGTTCCACAGATACCAGGCCATTGAGCAGCACGGCATGATGGGACCCTCATAGGCTTGAAAGACAGTCCTGAGATCAAATTCCAGCTCTGGGATATTGAGTGAGTGGCTTCACTGTTCTGTACCTCAGTTTCCTTATCTAAATGGAGATAAGTGCCTGCCTCAGTGGTTTAATGTAAGAAAAATGCACATAAAACATTTGGTCTCAAATATTATGTATTATGTATTGGTTTACTGAACCGTCCCCCAGTGTGTCAGGCCATGAGGCTTGTCCAGTTTTCTCCAGAAAGGGAGTCTTGTTGGTCACCAACCTTACCTCATTTGTTTCAAGCAACATGTGGGGTTTCAAGCAAGATGTGGGATGTCAAGTAGAGAGGGGAGTGTAAAACCCTCACATAAAACCCAAGGCAGGATTCATTCCAGGTCTTTTTTTGGTAAACACTGGCTGGCAGTTAAGGCCTATTGACACCAAAAGGAGCTGCGGCCATCTCCAGGGCTACATCTGCCAGGGGCTTTGCTCACATTTCCTGGAGCACTTGGCACTTATGCCTGTGCTTTGCTTTCCTAACTGCTGGTCCCCCTCAGGAAGAAACCATTTAGAAGTTACTCCATCTAACACTTCCCCCTCCACGAGGAATTTGACATTCCTGCTCCTGGAAGTAGCAGGTTCTTTTCACAGTCTTTCATTCATTCATTCATTCATTCACTCATTCAGCAAGCATTCCTGGGATGGCTGCACCCTCCCCATGCTCAGAACCCCATGGAGGAGCTGTCAGGATGTTAACAGTGCTGGTGCAGTCTGTGATCAGAAGATCCTGGTTTTTGTGCTCCAAATGGAAAAATCCAAGCTGAGCACGTGGATGGGGTGAGGTAAGATAGCTTTATTGTGAAAAAGGGAGTCACCTTCAGTAAGAAAAAGGAAGAGGAAGCAGAAGCCACAGTGGGTGCTGGTGAGTCCATGGGCCAAGACAGTGTGCTTTTTGTTTTTCAGGTGCTTTTAAAACCTACACTACCCCATGGGAGGGCAGGCCCAGGAGGTTCCCACCCAATAATGATCCAAGTGGGGAGGGGTATGGGTACTTCCCAGCCAGGTGAGGGTGGCCCATCCCCAGGCAACCTACATAAGCCCCAAACTTTTCTACTTCTAGCCTACCTCAAAGATGCTGCTGACTGGCTGGAGAGAAGGAGGTTGCCCTTGAGCTCCCTAGTGACCACACTTCTCATGTCCTCTGTGATCTGTAGAAGGACACAAGGAGGTGGAGGAGACAATTTAGTCATTGTCCCCTGGCTTCTGGAGTAGCTTCAGGGATGTCGGTAACCAACTCTTCCCAGAAAGTCTTTTTTTGCAACCAGAATGATCTATCATTTCAAAGGGAGACCTGATCTTATTACCAATACAATGTCAACAGCAACACTGTCATTTACAAAACACCACATGTGACTGTATGCCTCACTCACTGATGTACACAAAGACATGGAGCAGGTGCTGCTGTTGTAGCAAGTGGTATAGAGCCAGGACTCAACCTTAGACCTTCTGACGGGAGACTTGGCCCCTTAACTATAGTATTCTAGGCCTCTATAAACTGTTCAAACTCTTAGCTGAAGAATTTTGGGCTGTTTCCTTCTGTGTGGCTTTGGCCTTGGGAGCAGGATTATGTCTGAGTGAAATTGTGAATTTGACACTATCCATGCTGCCTGGGGACCAGTCATGCATTCAGCCGGTATTATTTGGACACCTACCTCTCCTTTGCTGTGGCTGGAAGATGATATGGTGTAGTTCAATGTAGTTGTTTTGTTTTTGGTAACTCACAGGGCATGTGACTCAGTGTAGTCACAGATAAGTCTGGGAACGATTTTGTTAACTGTTGCAAGCCTTAAAGTTCAGATCTTGTGCTGGGGAAGAGAACTGGGTTGCTCTGACTACCAGGTGTGGGTACACAGGCAGGCCACCCGCCCTGTTGTTTAGCCTGGGCCTCCACAGCAGAGCTAGGCCAAGAAGCTAACCACAGCTCTTAACTTTTTACAACTTGGTTGGCCTTCTTCTTGCCTTTGTGTTTCTTCCTATTCCTCTTCATTAAGATGAAAGGGATTTTAGATCTTTGCAGGCACAGAAGTGTGTGTGTGTGTGTGTGTGTGTGTGTGTGTAGGAGGCCCAAAGAACTTCCTTTCTCCTCTCCACCCCTCTCATCTCTCTCCCCATCCCAGCTGGGGCCCAGATATTGTGTGTCAGTACTGCCTAACCACAGGGACTGAGCCACCAACCAGGGCAGAAAAAGCATTGAAGATTTTGCTGTGGACAGGACTCAGTAAGAGGAGGATTGGGGAGGCTTTGGCAAGGGAACTGGCCTTTCAGAGCCATCTTGGGGGAGGCCCATCTTCCTCTGTGCCCTAGAGATAACAGGCTCTCCTCTGAACCAGTCTCTTTTGTTCCCATGCAAGGATCAAAAGGAAAGCCTGCCTCAGGCCCCACCTGCAGTTCCTTTAATTCCATCCATCCCCAGCTCCTCTATGGAGGGGAGAGGTGGCAGGGGGAGTGTCCAGGAAGGGCTTTGTTTTCCTTTGTGTTTACTCCCTGGTTCTGCTTAAGCCCCCTCCTCCTTATCCCTTGTTTTTGATCCTGCTTCCACCCTGCAGCCCTCTCTTGCCTGCCCCACCAAGGAAGTGTGCTTTTGCTGGAGCCTTGGTGCTCTGCTGGGAGGCAGGGTGTGTATAGAACACAGGGTGGAGAGAGGATGGGGACAAATACTGGGAGCCCCAGCATGTCCTGCCCAGAGGTGACTCTTAATATAGCTCCCCTGTACCAGCATCTTACCAGTGAGAAGGGACCCACAGGGGTTGAAATTCTTCTCTGAGGAGTACTGGCCCAAGCCAAGCCAAGCCAGTACACATCTGGGAACTGGTTAGCGTGCCTGATTCAAAGTGCTTGTGGTTTCAGTTTTAGAGATCTCCAGTGGGAATCCCAGGGGTCTAGGGAGTCCTCTCCCTACCAGCTCTCAGTAGGAAAGTCATCCTTCTGGGAACTGATGGTGAGTATCTACGGAGGCCTTCTTTTGAAGGTGATGGCTCTAGCATGTGTGGTATGAACTGTGGGTCCCCAGGATGGCATGTGTCCTTAGCACAATGAGTCAGTGTGTGCCAGGTGCTTTGGGGATGGCAAAGACAAAGAAGGCCCTGTCCTTTTCCTAGGGGAGCTGACAGCTGAGGAGGGCTGCTAGTTGATGAAGGAGCAGGATGGGACCAGGGAGACAGTGGGGACTGACTATGATCAATTGTGTGGCCTTGATCAGCCTCTCTGTGCTTTTGCTCCTGCCTGTGAGATGGGGCTGATGAAGTCTTCCCCTGGCTGCCTCATAGGATTAATGCACTAAGGAAGAAAACCCAGGAAACCAGCTTTTGTTGAGTGCCTGCTACATGCTAGGCACATCAGTTCACCTACTTAGGTACCAGATGCCTGCCTGCCTGCACTCAGAGGCTTTATAAATATGTTCATCTCCCTCCACTTCTGCTTCTGTCCTTTTCTATAAAGAGGGGTTTGTCTCAGGAGCTGGGGCACAAGAGCAGGACTCATTGAAATGGTTTCTAGGAGGAGCTCTCAATGAGACAGAGAACAATGGAGATGTGCAGGAAGTGTTCAGAGGACAAAGATGATCTGAGGTGGCTGGACCAGGCAGGGAGGGAACAGAGGGGTCTTAAAACTCTGATCTGTGCTGCATAGAAAGAGGACTGCATTTAAGTGGGGAAAAGGAGAACTTCAGGATTGGGGAAGCTAGGGGTTGGGGACTGGGTACCAGAGAAAACTCAGAGGACCTGATTCAAAGGTCTATACTTGCCAGGCTGTGAGAGTCCCATCTCACATGGAATCCTGAGACTTTGGTGCAGTGCAGAGGCCCTAGCAGAGAGATTGGAGGAACCCCAGCATAAAAGGGGGAGTCCACAGGAGTTGCTAGCTGGGAGAGGAAGGTGCATTGTGTGTTGAGACTGCATCAGTCTCCTTTGGCTGCTGTAATAAATCACCATGAACTGGGAGGGGGGTGGGGGCAAGGCTTAAAACAACAGACATTCATTTTCTCACAGTTCTGGAGACCTGGTCTGAAATCAAGATATCTTCAGGGCCACACTCCTTGCAAATGCTCTAGTGGGATCCTTCCTAATGCTCTAAGGGGAACCTTCCTTGCCTCTTCCAGCTCCAGATGTCCCTTGGGTGTAACAGCATTGTTTCTGTCTGCCTCTGTCTCCCTTCACCTTTTTCTCAGCCCTGTCTTTTCTGCCTCTTCATATGGACACTTGTCATTGGCTTTAGGGCCCACATGGGAAATCCAGGATGATCTCATCTCAAGATCCTTAATCTAAACACATCTACAAAGACCCTTTATCCAAATAATGTCACGTTCATATGGTTTTCAACAGCAGCAATACATCTTTTTGAGGGCTACCATTCAACCCTCACAATAATTGTTGGATTCCGGATGCCCTGAGAAGAGGAAAGGGAATATGGGCCAGGTCGAGGGTGGCAGAGGAGCCCTTCTTTGTCCCCATAGCTGTTTTACTCCTTGTTATCCTCCTTCCTGTCTCCCCTCCCCACACCCAGCCATAAACACCATCTTCAGTCTGTCTGTCCCAAGACCCTTCAATGTCCATGATGCTCTGTGGGCCAGGGCCTCTGCTGCTGGGAAGTCAGCTGCTGCTGGACGGAGGGACAGCCTGTCTTTCTTGGGAGATTGATGGCTTCCCTCCTTCTCTAGCCTTTGCTCACCTTGGCACACATTAGCCAGTGGAGAAGCAGGGTCAGGGGAGGATGGCCAGGAAGCAGTGGGCAGAAGAGAAGAGGCCTGTGCTGCCTTGCAAGAGGTTACTGCAGCAGGGCCCAAAGGCCCTATATCTTACTGGGCTCACATAGTTTTGAAATAGTAGCCAGTTGTTTAAATTGGAAAATTTTGATAAAGTCTAGATTACTGACTTTTCCTGGAGGGGAAGATCCCACCACTCTCAATACACAGAATGTGTGAAGTGGTGGGTGTCACCTGCAGGTAAAGCATGTGCCTTCCAGGCAACCAGTATCCCTATCCACACAGCACTCCAGGAAAGCCTGGCTCATTTTCCCAGGGGGCTTGGCTTTACAACCCCTGTCCCCAGGAATGGCAACTGAAAAGGAAGACCCCAGTGGGAGAGATGGAGGGTGGCTAGGGTTGAGATTACAAGGATTATGGAGGTGGAAGCAGAACCACACCCTTCTACCTACTTTCTCAATTATTTTTTGTTGGTCCTCTTCCTTCCTCTTTCTTCACTTCCTCTCTTTGCCTGCCTGTCCCTCTCCAACTGGACCCTGAGGCCTACCAGTGTCTACCCCCCACACCCGAGGCTCCTCAGCCCCCCACAGATGCCCTCCCCAGACCCCATTTGGGTGCAGGTGAAGGGAGGTCCCAGCCAGAGATGCCATGGTAGTGACTCTGTGGATATGTGTCTCATGGTGGGGTGAGGGCCAGCTCTGCCAGCCCTTTCTAGTCTCCCACGTCCTGGAGGGGTAGACAAGAGTGCTATGTTCAAAGCTGATGTCATGGAGCCCTAGTTCTGGGTCCCAAGTGTCCTGAGTTAGACAATAAGGAAGGAGCTGGTGTTGGTAGAGACGTATAACTCCCACAGATGTGTCTGCCTTGGCTATCTCCTCTCAGCTCCTACTGACATATTGGGAACCTGTGCTGTATCCAGCCCATGCAGGCTGCCTTGGGGGCTGCAGAAGAACATTCCCCTTTGTGACTGGACCTGTGGGTAGATGAACTGACACAGAGAAGAGCATAAAGGTGGCTTGACGTGCAGCAGTCCTGAGATGGTAAAGGTAGATCTGCTCCTAGGGGCAGGTTGAGTCAGCACTTGGCAGGGAAGCTGGGCTGATGCCATTTTGGGGCATGGTTTCTGCTTGAGAGAAGCATGGAGTCAGATGGGATGGATGAGCTAGGCAATGGGAAGAGAGTTTGCAGGACACAGACTGCCCAGCCATCAGCTTCATTCTCTAAAACCGTGGCTTAGACCAAACATGGGTTTTGCAGTCAGCCAGTCCTTTCTCACGTCCTGTGTCTCCAACAAAGCTTGGGGGACAACTTACCTGATGATTTTTAATGGTCACCATTGACAGAGATAGCCATGAGGGCTCCTGAGTAGTAAGAGGAGGTGGGGCTCACTATGTTCCCATCTGCCTTTGGGGGGATGGAGAAAGAGCAGAGGGAAGGGAGCAGACTAAGCTCATGTACAGTCATGCACTATTTCAGGCAGTCTTAGAGACCACCCAGTGGACCTCACGGGCATCAACCTCTTCATCTGTAAGGTAGGGAAAATTAAATGACAAACACATGCAGAATGCTTAGCATTGTGCCTGACGTGGGGTAATTGCTATACAAATTGCACTTAATAACAATGTCCTCACCTTTCACTACCCTTCTCCTGCATACAGACCCCCTGCTATATGCTCTCCGGGAGGGCCTATGCAGGATGCCCAGGCTGCCTCACCCACCTCTGCCCCATCCTCCAGGTCAGGCATGTCTCTTCATTGGGCCTCAGTTTCCTTATCTGTAAATGGGGCTTACATTAAAACAACTCTAAATTCTGACTTTCTTGAATCTGTGGCTCTATTTCCCCTAAACAATTGTGAGCCTTGTTAGTTGGGATGGAAAATTCCAGTACATGGCTAAGCATCAGTGGGGTGCAGTCCAAACTTAGGACAGGTGGGTCGCCTTAGCTGATTCCTGGAGGACTTAGAACCTAGACAGGGGAAGAGGAACCCAAGTCAGCCCACTGAGCCTGAGCTCAAAGTCCCCCTCAGCCATCAGTTATCATAAAGGAAAGGGTCAGCTGCTCCTTTTGGCTTTGAAGGTGACCCTAGGGCAGTAATGCTTCATGGTTGGCTGAATCTCCCCTGGACTGTAAGGTTTTAACTGCAAGGGATCAGCCATGGTCGTCACTGTGGGCCTTGAGCCATTGCCTTTTTCCTTGAGTTCGATAGGTGTTGTCACTGTAGCACAGTTGGAAAAACTGGGCTTTGCAGCAACAGACAAGATGGGCTTGAATTTCTACTTGGCTAAGACTTTTCTGGTTGTATACTAGAAAATGACTTAGGTCTTCCGGCTTTGGTGAATCCATTTGAGAAACTGGGATCACAACTACCTGTTGGAAGTTCACAGTGGTCACATGGACATTGTCCAGCACATCCCAGTAAGAGCTTCAGAGATGGGACTATGGTTTTTAGACAACTTTCAATAGTGTTTGCTGGATAAACCGGAAGTGGAGAGTCCTCTGGAGTGCAGGAGTAAGGACCCCAGTAATGAGCTGTCTGGGGTTTCTCCTCCAGGATCTGGGGCTTCTGTTCTGCCTCACAGTAGGAGTGTGGTAAAGCCTTGGTCCGGCCACCACCTTCAGCCCTCTGCCAGGGCACCCAGAGGCCACCATCTTCCCCCAGCCCCTACCTCCTGTGACCTGGCCCTTTGCCAGGCTAAGTTTAGCTGTGCACTGCATGAGTTACCCTCTCTGTGGGTGAGGCGGGGGCTGAGAAGAATTCAGCAGGCTTCCTGTCTGCTTCCTGGCAAGCAGAGGAAAGCCTGCCAAGTGACCCAGGTTTATTCTCAGTGCGAAGCTGCCACCAACATCACCAGACCACAGGTGTGAGACTGCAGAGGTGAGAGCTTTGGGTCAAGACAGATGCAGATATCCTTGGCATTGGGGGAAAGGCGCCCTTTGGGGAGATGTGTGTGTATACACGTGTGCACATGTAAGTGAGCACATGCACGTATCCCTAGTTTGCAAGAGGTTTCCAGCTACCTAGTCCATCCTGTGATCTTCACATGTCAGAATGCCCTGATTCCATGGCCCCCACCTCTTTTAGCCCCAGAGTCCCCCATAGGAACTGGTTTGGGAAGGGTTAGTAGCAGGCACTTCAAACGCAGTCGCCTGTAGTTGACACTGAGCAACCATGGCCCATTCTCAATCTTGGTGTGGCCCTCCTTACCCTGTCCCTAGGGTGCTGCGTATAGACAGCCTGTGTAGAGTATAGCAAGGAGCAAAATGACAGCCAGGATAGGGGGTGATGGTCTAAGTGAGGAGGTGAGTCAGCGGGAACTCCAGACCTTCAGGAGGATCCCATGCTCTGAAGGCTTCTCTGGTTTTGCTGGGGGCAGGGCAGACTGAGGAATGTGCCAAGGAAAAGCACTAACAGTGGAGCATTTGTGCATTCAAAGCACTTTTGAGCGTCGCCCTCCACACCCCGAGCCTTGGGCAGGGCTGCTGTGCTTGCCTGATGAGAAAACAGGCATGTGGAGGCTGAGGGAAGAGGAGCTGGTATTGTGGGGTGCCAACTCTGTGCCAGCCTTTGTGCTAAACACCAGTGATGTTGACCTTCCCAACATCCTTGTGAAGGACGGACTGTGCTGAGCACCTTCTCACGGGTCAGATCAGGAGTCCTAAAGAAGCTGATCTGTCCAAGATCACACAGCAAAGGAGAGAGTGAAAGTTCAAGGTCAGGTCTGCTGGGTCTACAGCTGGTTGCCTTTCATGTTGTTCACTGTTTTCCCTGGTGCTCTTGATGAGTCTTGTCTGTAACCCCACAGTTCACAGTGTTACTTGAGGCCGCCCCATCCTGACAGAGCCCCTAGTAGGGGTGCCTGTGAACCCCGGCAGGCAGGGTCACCTGTGTCTTCCCATCCCATCTTAGCTAGCCTTTCGTAAGAAAACTCACTCGGGGCAAGCCTTTCACTAAGGTTTGACATGCATTAGCTTATTCAAACTTCATAGCAGCAGTGTTGTTCTTATTTGACAGGAAAAGACTGAAGTTTGGACAAGTTGAGTGATTTGTCCAAGGTCACATCCACTAGGTGCACATGCTGGGTTCTAACCCAGTCTGTCTTGTCCAAGTCCTTCCTTCATCCTTGGTTTTGATTTCAAACCTTGCCCATTCCAGTATAAAGAGGCTCCTAGATCCCGTCCTCCTCCAGCAGCAGGTACGAGGATGTACACAGATGGTACAGCAGAAGCCATTGGGTAAAGAAGAAGGACTTCCCAGTCCAGGGTTTGGTGAAACACCACTCCTAGATTGGTTAACATGGAAACTGACTTTCTCCCGAGTTGGGAGTTACCAAGGCTGTCCCTTTGATTGGTGAAGACCTGCTGTGCCTAAATGTGGCTGCCTGAGCTACAGAAGCCCTTGAGAACCCCGAAACCTTCAAGCTTCCTACTAAATGGCTGCTGCCTGGTGTTGCACCCCTGGTACTCCACATCTTTACCCTATACCTCTGGTGCTCACTCAGCAGTCACCCTCACAGCTTTGCTTTGGACCACCCTGACTAACCTTCCCTTGCTGTCTCTATAATGTAGAGACAAGGGCCCACCTGTTTCTGCAATTACTCAATGGCTTGACCTTGGCTTGGGATGGAAAGCTGCCTAGTGGCCCCCTGTACTTTTTCCTCAGCCCACCCCACTTACAGTTTCCACTTTCTCCTAGGAGCTCATGAGAGTTCACCTCTGAGCCTGAACTTGTCTCTGCTTGGATTCCCCTACCTAGACCTCCCTCCACCAAGGCTTGTGGATCCTGGTGACATGTGAAGCCGTGTATGGGTGGAGCTGTCTGAGTCACATCTAAGCAGCAGCTTTGCCCAGGTGTGGCTGTCAGCCAACTCAAGCAGTCTACCTCTTCCTCTTTGCTGGGAACAACCTGCGGAGGTATCCTTACCTGGTGAAAAACCCTTGCTCCTAGGCACCATTTGGGCAAGAATTTCACTGTGCAAATTCAAGATCAAAGGGCTCTAAGCCAAATGGAATGGGCTCCTCTAAGCCCATGGTGCTGGCCCCAGGGGTTGATAGAAGCCCTCTGTGTTCTCTGTGGTCCAACCAAAGTCTCAGGACCTCACTGATTTGCATTTGGCCTTTTACTGTCTTTCTGAGGTCCCATGCAGGACAGATGTGAAAAGGGAAGATTGTTTGTTAATCCCCAGGTTTCCTGCTGGGGAAATGAGAGAGTGTAATATAAGGTTTAAGTGGGGGACTTCTAAGACTCCCCCGCTGGGTGCCTGAACTCACACATAGAACTGAACCTTATATTACCATATTTTTCCCATACATCCAAACAAAAATGTAAGGTCTCTTCCATCTTACCATATCCTCCACTTACCCCACACGATGGCCCTAAATTTGCAATTTTACGTGCAGCAGTGGAACTAATACAAATTTATCTTTGTCACAATTTCACAGATAAAAGATTCTTACTGTAGCTGTTACCAACCTTTGCATAAGATTTTTTTTTCTTTCCTTAAGAACTTCCATCTTTTCACATAAAGGAAGCACTTTATTGCTTCTCATTGACATATACACAAATGGTAAGCATCAGTAACTTTGCACTTTGGGGCCATGACTCAGTTAAATAAAGGTACTCAACCACAAGCACTGTGATACCACAGCAGTTGACCTGATAACCAAGTTGGTTACTAACATGACTAACAGAAGGGTAGCATATACAAGGTGGATCTGCTGGACAGATGTATGATTCATATCCCCAGCAGGAAAGAGTGGAACAGAGCTCTTTCAACACACTACTCAGAATGCAACAATTTAAAATTTATGAATTGTCTATTTCTGGAAAGTTCCATTTAATATTTGCAGACCACAGTTGACGACAGGTAACTGAAACCTTGGAAAGTGAAACTGTAGGTGGTCTAGGGGAGACTATTGTCCTGTAAGGACAACTCTTCCCAGACTTTATTGTGGACAGTGTTAAAATACTGAGTAGGTCAGCAGTGGGGCAGAGATGATGCATTTCTCACAAGCTCCAGGAAATATCATAGCCAGAGGTCTGTGGATCACAATTTAAAGTAAAAAGACTGTAAGGGGCTCGCCTTTCCCCCAAAGTCACTTCTGACCTAAAAATCCATTTCTCCTGGGGGAATGGAGTGCCTCCTTTCACAATTAAGAAGTCAAAGTTAGAGTCCAGATGCCTTGTGAGAAGAAGCTAATGACATCAGTATTGTGACCCTGTGGGGCACTACTGCCTTCCTCTTGTATAGTATACCTGGGCTCAGAGAGGCAAGTTACACGCCCAGAATCCCACAGCCATCCAATGGCAGGCTAGCTTTGGAAATGCCCATTCTTAACCACCAGACTTTACCATATTCCAGAAGTATGCACTTACTAGACTGAATTTATTGGGAGGACAAGGGGACATGTGATGCAGGACTACTTTGATTTTGAGTGATGGAAAAAAAATTCAAGCTGAGTTCTCTATTGACTCACATGGCTAAAAAAGCCCAGGAGTAATGCCTTCATGCATACCTGGATTTGAGGGTCTGCTATCTTCCCTGTTGCATCTTTCTCAAGTAGGCTCCCCTTCCAGTTGGCTAGAGATTACACAGCAGGTGTAATCCTCTTACTCAACAATCCTAGCAACAAGGTTAGTTTAGAGTATTCCACCATTGATCCCAGCAATCCTACACCTGACTCCCATTGGCTCAAAGTAGATCATATATTCATGCAGAAACAGTCAGCTGTGGCTATAGCAGGGAGCAGTTGTGGGGACTAGTCTGATCGCCTGGGGCCTAAGTCCTATGGTTATCCCTGAAGCTGGGGTGTGGGTCTATCCAAGAGGAGAAAGGGGTTGGCTCCTGGGTCAGTGAGGTGCTTACTCCAGCAGAGGAATGTCCTTGCAGACAGAAAAAGATGTCCAGCACAAGTGCAGTCCTTTGGTTCTTCCTCTGAGACTAAACTGGAGCAGGGGAGGTGTTGGCAGTGGGCAGACAGGGGTTGGGTGAGAGAAGAACTGAGACAGTCACTGGCTTTGTGGAGCAGAGGCTGGTGTGAGGGTCCAGGGAAAAGTGGCATGGAGGGAAACAGGTATGACTGGCGGTCTCTCTGTTCCCAGGAAAGCTCCAGCCATGGCCATGGGACTCTTCCGGGTGTGCCTGGTGGTGGTGACAGCCATCATCAACCACCCACTGCTGTTCCCACGGGAGAATGCCACGGTCCCCGAGAACGAGGAGGAAATCATCCGCAAGATGCAGGAGCACCAAGAGAAGCTGCAGCTGGAGCAGCTACGCCTGGAGGAGGAGGTGGCACGGCTGGCAGCCGAGAAGGAGGCCCTTGAGCTGGTGGCAGAGGAGGGCCAGAAGCAGCCCGAGGGCCAGGCAGGCTGGGACCTGTGGAGCACTCTCTGTATGATCCTCTTCCTGATCATTGAGGTATGGCGGCAAGACCACCAGGATGGGACCTTGCCTGAGTGCACGGGCAGCGACGAGGACGAACTGCCAGGGCTGGGGGGTACTCCACTGCAGGGCCTCACCCTGCCCAATAAGGCCACATTGAGCCACTTTTATGAGCGCTGTATCCGGGGTGCCACTGCCGATGCCGCCCGCACCCGGGAGTTTGTGGAAGGCTTTGTGGATGACTTGCTGGAAGCACTGCGGAGCATCTGCAACCCAGACACAGACATGGAGATGGAGGACTTCATCGGTGTGGACAGCATGTATGAGAACTGGCAGGTGGACAGGCCACTGCTGTGTCACTTGTTTGTGCCCTTCACACCCCCAGAGCCCTACCGCTTCTACCCAGAACTCTGGTGTGCCAGCCGTTCTGTGCCCCTAGACCACCAGGGCTATGGCCAGATCAAGGTGGGACTAGCTGACGGAGACCCCCTGGGCTGTATCTGTGGCAAGAGCAAGCTGGGGGAAGACATGCTGTGTCTCCTTCATGGCAAGAACAGCGGGGTGCATCCCAGCAGTGAGATGGAGGACCTGCTGTGTGCCAAAGAGTCCCCATACTTAGATACCACGCGGGTCATGAAGTGGTTCCAGATAGCCCTCACCAGAGCCTGGCATCGTATTGCCCACAAGTATGAGTTTGACCTCGCCTTTGGTCAACTGAACACTCCAGGGTCTCTCAAAATCAAGTTCCGCTCAGGGAAGTTCATACCCTTCAACCTGACTCCCGTGATCCAGTATGACGACTCAGACCTGTACTTTGTCTCTCATCTTCCCAAGGAGCCCTGGGGGGATGAAGGGGGTGGAGCAGGGACCCCAGCCTCCGGCACAGAATGGCTTCTCTCCTTTGCTGTCTATGAACGACACTTCCTCCGGATGACAACAAAGGCACTTCCCGAGGGTGCCTGCCACCTCAGCTGCTTGCAGATCGCGTCCTTCCTGCTCTCCAAGCAGAGCCGCCTAACAGGCCCTAGCGGGCTGAGTCACTACCACCTGAAGACGGCCCTGCTGCACCTCCTGCTGTCACAGCGGGCCACCGACTGGAAAGCTGCACACCTCAACGCACGCCTGCATGAGCTCTTCTGTTTCCTGGAGAAGAGCCTGCTGGAGAAGAAGCTCCATCACTTCTTTGTGGGCAACCGCAAAGTGCCCGAGGCCATGGGACTCCCTGAGGCCGTGCGCAGGGCTGAGCCTCTCAACCTCTTCCGGCCTTTTGTCCTGCAGCGGACTCTCTACCGTACCACTGTGGACTCCTTCTATGAGATGCTCAAGAATGCCCCGGCGCTCATCAGCGAGTATTCCTTACACGTTCCCACCGACCATGCCAGCCTGCCCCCAAAAGCTGTCATTCTGTAGAGCATGTGGGATTTGAGGGCCAGGAGGGAGCACATCCCACATTTACACACCACTGGGGCACTGCGATCCCAGTCTGGAAAGGCGGCAGGCTTGGAGGGGAGCTACGGCTCAGCCTGCCAGGAAACCAGGTCCTACAGAGTGGAGGAAATAGAATTCCAACTGACCACTGGTTTGCTTTCCTGCCATTGGAGCCCATTGGTGAAGTTGTCATTTGGGGACAGATCCTTTATAGCTTACTTTTGGATCACCATGATTGGCAAGACAATGGCAGAACATTCTAGACACTGAGTTGGAGAGATTGAAAACAGGGATTGTAGTGTAATCCTGTTGGCATCCCAGTTGCAGTCTATGCTTCATATCAACAGAAGATCTATGGGAATGCTGCTTGGGACCCAGCACCCCATTCCCAGGAACGGTTGGCCCTAGCCATCTTCAGCCAAAGAACAAGTAGGAATAGGGGTGGAGTCCCACAGTGACTGTCACTTTATAGTATTTGGAGAAAAGACTCAGTAGAGATTCGAAGCCCCAGACATTAGACAGCTAATGTCTCTGTCACACAGAAATGGGTACTTGGTGGTGGAGAGTTTCAAGTTGGCTGAATTTTTGGCCATATTTCTCATTCAGGTACATCTGCATGCCATTTACCATGCCAGGGGTCAGCTCAGCAGCCCCTCACCTCTCTCTGTTCTCTCCACAGCTCGGGCTCTGGTCATCACTGTGGTGGGGGGAGGCAAATGCTAAATGTGAACACTGACCTAGAGAAAAAGAGGCATGGGGTGACTGGGGCAAGGGACAGAGCTTGGGTTCCAGGGTACTGGGGTATGCCTTTCAGTCTGGCCCAGTTCAGAGAAAATTACAGAGCTGCCCTGGCGTGAGGACTGCCATAGCCTGAGTGGTCCCCAGATCCCAGTTCTAGGCAGCAGGCTTGGAAGCAAGAGCTGCTTAGAAACCCAGGTCTGCCCCACCAGCTCATTCCTCCCTCCCAATTCTCCACCTCAAAGGGGCCTGCGCACTGCACTAGCCCAACCTTTCAGCATGGGCCTTGCTGACCAGACCTAAGAGCTGATTGGGGACTTGGGCAATCACCCCTGGGGGCCATGGGCCTTGGACAGGCACCAGAGCTAGAGACTAGAGCTGGGCTCCTGTCCAGGCTAGGTTCAGAGGATCAGGATCCTCTTTTCCACTTGGACTTCATTGGCCCTTTGAGATTTCCTCAGCATTATCTCGGCAACATTTGTCCAGGGCCAAGGGGGAAGCAAGAATGAGGAACACAGCTGCACCAGTGTTCTCCCTCCAGGATTGAAGCTGGTTGTGCCTCCCAGGCAACAAAATCTTGAGTGTGTCCAGGCTCACCATGACCTAAAGAAAGTAGCTCCTTCCCCTAGGCCCAAATATGCTCTCACCTGGCCACAGAAAGCTTGAGATGATGGACTGTTTGCCCACCAGAGTTAATTCATGGTGGGGAGGCTCAGCTGCAATCAGGGTAGCAAGGCTGTACCACTGCACATGCGCAGTCTGCCTCTTCCCCAGCCTCACAGCAGCAACGGTGCCCCCAGGAATGAACTTACTCAACTGTGGCTCTAACAGCATCCCTGAGCCCCACTGGTTCCGTGGATTCTTTTCCAGAATCAGGGCAGATGTTCTTATTTATTGTTGCCTGTGCCTTTCCCCCTCTCTATCCTTATGCAGTTGTGCTTTAAAGAGAGACCAGCAACCAAGAACTAGCTTCCAGAAGCCAAACCAAGCCTGGATCTCCCTCAGTTCCCCTTTGTCTCTGGGAGAAAAGTTCACTGGAAAAATACCTCTGGCTCCTTGTTTATATACAAAACTCGGTGGGGAAACAGTGGCCTGTTATGCACCAAAGCTGCTTCTGAAGCAGAAAGCAGCAGGGCTCTTGGTGTTTTGTGCTGCCTTATTTATATTAAAAGAAGAATTAAATTCTCACAAGGAGTAAAAATGGGACACAGCATTTGTTTTTAACTTCAGGAAATGTGTGAGGCTCCCAGGGCAGAGTTGGGGACAGGGGTGGATTTCCTATTAAACAAGCAGCTTTCATTCTCCTTTTATTCATACACTTTCAGGAAGCTTTTAAAAATAACAAAATGGAATATTTGTGCCTTTGAGGCCAGCTTTTGCCCTGCCTACAGAGTTCCAGAAAGGGCCTTTGAAAGCCAACCATGCAGTGGATTCTAGCACAGAGCTGATAAATGTGCAAAGATGTAGGTGCTGGAAGTAACAAGAAGCTTTTGGTGTTTGAGAGAGTTTTGTAACTGGAGGAGCCCTAGCCCTCTGGAGCACATGGGCCTTTCTGCTAAGGATGCCCCCTTGCTCTCTGAGGACTCTTTCCCTTCCCAAAGATACTGTGCAGAGTATCCCAGGACTGTGTTTGCTATACCTCTTTGGTAAACTGGGTAGGGCCAAGAGATTGGTAAGTTGGGAGAGGGCACTACATCCTCAAAAGCCCCAGCCCCTCTGCATTGATTAGTTTTCCTTAATTATAATGAAATATTCAATGCAGGATATTGAGGAAAAGAAGAGGTGTATTTCATTCACAGTTTGAGAGGGTCCAAATTCAAGATTGGATGGCCCTACTTGTTTGGCCTCTGGTAAGGGCAACAGATGGTGTCACATCATGGTGGCCAAATGTAAGAGCAAGCACTCAGAGCAGAGAGTTAGATGCGGCCAGGCTGAGGCTTATATAACAATCTTTATGAGAACTAACCAGAATCCCATGAGAACTACCTTAATCCCTTTCAAGGCCATAGCTCCTTGGATCTGAAGACCACCCAGTAGGCCCTTCCTCTTAAAGGTTCCAATACTACCATCCTGTGGACCAAGCTTCCAATGGAGGAACATAACATCCAAACCATAGCTCTCTCTCTCTGTGCCATGCTGAAGCACCACTGGTTTGAAAACCCAGAACTAGCTAGCATGTCAGTTCATCATCAAGAGTGTCAGCAAAGTGACCTGGAGAGTTTGCCCAGACCCAACCATGACCCTTCATGGTGCCCAGGATCCATTCTGAAATGACCACGTAAGGCTGTATTATTAAAGTGTTCCTCAGGTGACTGGTAGTATCTTAGTTGAGGAAGTTTTCCCACTTCCTTTCCAAACGAAAAGTCAAACTCAAGTGGGGCTGGGTACTGTGGCTCAAGACACTTATCCTAGCAGCTTGGAAGGCAGAGATCCAGAAGATCGTGGTTTGAGGCCAGCCTGGGCAAAACATTCACAGGGCCTCACCTCAACCAATCGCCAGGCATGGTGGCGCATTGTCCTTCCCAGCTACTTGGGGACACACAAATAGGAAGATCATGGTCCAGGCAAACCAAGGCATAAATTGAGACCCTATCTCAAAAATAACCAACACAAAAAGGGCTGGCAGAGTGCCTGAAGTGGTACAGTGCCTGCCTAGCAAGTGCAGGGTCCTTAGTTCAATCCCCAGTACCAACAAAGAAAATAGAAAGAAAATCCAAATGGGCTGCTTTTCCTACAGGAAGATGAGCTTGGGAGAGACTGAGGAGCCCACTGACGATGGGTTCTCATGGCATCCACTACACCACAGCTTCCCCTGAGCATCCCATGCTCCTGGTGGATGAGGAGACAGCAGATGGAAGCATGATTCCTAGCAGGTGTTAAATCCACAAGCCCCTATCAGGAGCCTTATGTACAGGAGGCCCTGTGGAGGGTAGGAAAGTGAATGGGATGGAGCCTATGCCAATCTCCCAAGTACTCATCTGTGAAAAGTGCCACAGGGCTGGTGGGCTCCAAGGAGACCACTTCTCTAACCACATCACCTGAGACAGCTTTCAGTGAAATCTAGGAATTGAATCCCAGAATATGCATGTTACAAGCTTCCCTGGGTAATTCTAGAAGTCCCGAAACCACTGATACCTGGGGTGACTCGAGACAGCCTCATGGTGTGTGCCAGCCTCCCTTTATACTTATGCTAATGCCCACCAGCCCATGTCAGTCCCAAAGTGGGTGCTGGTACTGTCTTCCCCATTTTCCACATGAAGAAACTGAGGGTTGAGTGACCTGTCTCAGGTCACACAGGTAAGTAGCAGTCAAGATTCCAACCAGGCAGGGCTGGTATGTATGTTGGCAAAGCATGGCAAAGAAGGTTGAAAAGGTGGAGGGGTGGGACCAGGGAAGTGGCTCAAATAGTAGAGTGCCTGCTTAGCAAGTGTGAAGCCCTGAGTTCAAACTCCAGTGCTGCAAAAAAAGAAAATAAGGCATGGAGTGGGCTGAACCATGAAAGCTTTGAATGCTGATCTGAGATGAATTTGGACTTCAAGCAATAGTCTGAACTAGTGGCGATTTTTGAGTGAGACAGTAACTCAGTCTTCCCAGAGCTGTGGAGTCCTTAGTTATGGGATCAGTGCCATGTGAGGTGCTGGAGGGTATGAGGCCGTCCTCCAGAGCAGGGTTGGTGACAACTATGACAGTGGTCAGTGAATGTCCAGTCTTTCCAAGGCTGTGATTCAGGACAGTCTCATGTTCCATCTCGTCTCCACCTCCTAGGATAGAGCTGGAAGGTTGTTTGGGTTGGCCAGATGCAAGTCCCCTTAGAGAGAGCAAGAACCATGGCCAAGAGGAAAAATAAGAGCCTTCAACTGATCTCATCCCCATCTCATTTCACCCCCTCCTCTCTGCTCAGGAGGAACATGGTTTAGACTTAGCTTTTCTCATTACCATGTAAAGATAGCTTATTTTTTTAACTAGTTATGTATATATATATATATATATATATATATATATAAAGCAACACAGTCATGCTAAAAAAGAAAGCTCAACCACTGACAGAAAAACCAAGTAACATAAAAGCTTCCCACTCCTGAATGAGTTCAATCCCCAGAGTGAACTTAACTAGTATTAACCTTGTATATCCTTCCAGAAGGTTTTTGTGTGTGTGTCACATCTGTGTATACCTCCCTTTTGCTCTTTCTTATGTAAATGATGTCACATCGTCTGACTTTCCCTGAACATCTTTTGAAACACTGGGCTCTACCTTATTCTTTAAAACAGCTGCTCACTATTTCACTGTGTATATGCGTATCCCCTAATTTACCCAACCTCCTCTCCTGAGGTTATCTCTGCTTTTTTTTTTTTTTTTGCTCTTATAGACAACACTGGAATGAACATCTCTGAGCACCAAGCCTATTGTAAAACAATTCTAGTAATCACTATATTTTGTCCTTGGCAACTTTTTGTATGTGGATATACCACTAAGCATCTTCCCATCAAAAGACACTGATGTCAGGGATTTATTCAATCGCCATGATTCAAAGAGTAAGACAAAGGCATTTAACTAAGCACTGAGCAACAAATGTGTTGCACCTGGGTCAGGCACAATGAGGGGAAGAAAAGTATAAGATAAAGGCTCTGTCCCCAAGGAACTGGTCTATTAGGAAGTAGTATAGAATAAGTCAGATCCATGAAGCGAAGAAAGTAACTGAAAGTGAAGTTGTGTGACTGTGAAGCCTGCCTGAGGGGAATGAGAACAGGCAGATCTGCTTTGAGCTTAACAATTTTAGCTCCCTTCTCCCCAAAGGAAACCAAATTCATCTAATTGTTTGTTCTGTCTCCCAAATGCTTATATGTCATTCATCTGAGCCAGGGCTTGTTTAATTCCACCTACAGCATGGGGCCTAGCTTTTTGGCTGAAAATATCATTTGCCATCCCTCTGATGTTCCTCTATAGCCCTACAAAGAAATCAAAATAAAACTCAGCAACAAATTATCTCCCAGCAAGATGAAACCACAAACTTTGGAGGTGTTCAGAGACATTTCTTAGCTCTATGGGGAAAAGGCAGATCAAAAAAGTGCAAAATGAGATTTGCAAGACAGAAGTAGGGATAAGGAGTTGGGAGGCATTTGGCCCCATCTGTTTCTGACCCACAGACCAGTGATATTTTTAGTTTCTCTTAGGGTAACTTTATTTCAAATAGAAATAGAGAGCAAAGACCCACTTCCTCTTTCCTCTAACCATTCACTCTTGGCTATGTTCCCAACTGGCCCAGCTCCCACGATCTCACTGCTTCCCTACTCCTGGGAGTGTACTCAGGACCACAGCTCTGGGACAGTGGTTGGACCCCCAAGGATTGACAATGGCCTTTGAACTCTCCCCAAAGTCATGACTCACTTCCCCAGGGGCCTGGAGACTGCAGGCAGCCCCAAGATCTCCAGCACTGGAGACAATGAGTCAGCCCATGCATAATCCTGCTACCCCCAACCCAGGAATCAGGGCCAAGGCAGCCCACAGCAAACGCACAAAATAGACTCAGGGCCAGCTCTCACAACATCTGATTAAGTACGATTCTTAAGAAACATTCTCTGCCATTGGTTTCCTTGTGGCAGTTTAAGATTTGGCCAGGCAGGAAGCTCTGCAAGCCCCAAGCATCCAGAACAAGACAACAGTCAAGCATCCAGGGTGTTCTGCTGAGAGTTAACGACCCAGAGAGAATCAAGGAAGAGCAGGCCCCTTCCCTACCTCCATGTCCCCTCCCAATATGGAGGCCCACATGTGAGGGCCTGCCGACTAGGTATCAGATATCTCCCAGTGAGGCTCAGGCTCTAGATACTTGTGAGCTCCTTACAGCTGGATTCTTCCTTCCTGGCTACCCCAGTGGTGTTGAGACTGTTCCTCCAGTGCCTGCCATGTGTGAGTCTATCTGCCCGAGGCCCTTACCATGGGACATGCAGGGTCTGTCCCCTTCCTTGGGGTCAGACATACACTAGTTGCTCAGGAAATGTTTATGGACCTCACTAGAAGGATCAGGGCACTGCCTCCAATTCGAGAGAATAGTGAGGGGGTCTCTTGCTTCCCGCTTCTGACCGCTCTGTCCTCTTAGACCCTCTGAAGGAAGCCAGAGGACAGCCAGAGCCTACACCAGCAGTTGCCATAGACACAACAGAGCCAAAGCTGGGTACCTCTGCTGCTCCAGAGACACAGTCTTCTCTTCAGACGGTAAATGGGAAAATCACCAAGACAGCTGCCTCATCATGCACTCCTTGGACTGTCCCAGGTACAGCCATCCATCTGTCCATCCACCCATTCCATGGTGTATTCCTGCATTTGCTCATTTGCCAAACACACCAATGTTTCAAAACCAAGTCAAGAGGACATGATTCGTGTCTCGAATGCTTCCAGTCCTGGAGGAAGCAGAAGAGAAAGATCAGGAGGGCAGAGGGGAAGCAGTGCTGGCCACTGGGAGGCAGAGGATCACAGGTTCAAGGGAGTCAGCACAAACCTCAGCTCTGCGCATTACCGTCCATGTGACATCTTGGCAAGTTACACCACCATGAAGCTTCAGTTCATCCTTGAAACGAGAATAATTAGTCCTTACCTTGCAAGGTTGCTGAGTATAAGTAGTGTAGGAGAGGTCCCTCAAATACAGTAAGTGCTCAGTAAACAGGTTTATTATTGTTCCCCACTCTACAACCTGAAGCCAGGTTTTAGATTCCACAGAACCTCCTCAGACAAGTCCTAGTGGCCCCTTCTCCTGGCTTCCAGGGTAAGAGGCTTAGCTGCCACTGCACCAAAGACATCACTGGGTCCCCTGTTCTTCAGCTCCCTGCTGCCTTCAGGCCATCTGGGACCGAATCTCAGCTGAAGCTCCAAAGAAGGCCTTTCTGTTTATCAAATGAATGCCCCGTGGCCATTTATTTTAGAATGACATTTTAAAATGCCTCCTGTCCTTACTGTTTACCTCAATGTTCATCCTGCTACCTCCCTCTTATGGCAGAAATGCACAGAAACACACACACACAGGAGAGAGAGAGAGAAATTTCCTTGCCCTGAGCATAACTGTCACTCCCCACTCATGTCCTGTGAGGCTAGGAGGGAGCTGCCCCTGTCATGGTTCCCTCAGGAGCATCACAGTCCCTGAGTTGGCCTCTGCCCTCTGCTGCTTTATCCTTCTGGGCTCCAGGACCAGTCTGGAAGTAGCGCTTTCCTGCTTCCTTCTGTGTTAGGGAGTTGACTCTTGGCTCCCTGCCAAGGGCCAAGTGAGCTGAGGACCCTTGTCCAAGGGAATTTGTGGTCATGGTGGGAGTAACAGCAGAGTATCCCACGGTTCTTGTCCACAGAACACATGTGTAAACATGCTGTCCATGAGCAGTGTGGTCCTAGGGCCCTTTTGGAGTGCATTCAGCTCCAAGCCTCCTGGTAACCTGTGCATTTCAGATCATTCACATTTTAATCCTCAGAAGGGGATGAGCTGCTGTTCCAAAAGGTGGCAAGGATTCTCCTAGGACCATCTGACACTTCCTTATAAAATCCAGCTTTAGCAAAGAGCCTCCCACTCTCAAAATCTGTGACCATCCTCCATATCTGTTCTGGCTCCTCATCTTCACCATCACCCAAGCGATGCCTAATCACCTGGTCTATCTTCAGCATGAATCCTCTAGGTCAGTTCAGCTCTGAGTAGTTTTTCATCCACTGACCCCACCCCCTGCTCTCCCACTTATCTAGAAATTCCTCTTGCCCATGCTATATTTTGCCACTGCTAAATCTCATTGCAGTGGCCCCTATATCTATGGTGATGGATCTGAATAAAGTCTTCCTTACTGTGCTTTGACAAGTACCATTGATTTATTTTTATTTAACACAGAGTAGAAGAGTAAAATTCTCATAAGTGCTTTATAACATGGAAGATGATATTTTACCAAAAACAAAATTTCAGAATTTCAATATTAAACTAGGCTTGGGGTGAGAAAGGAGCATTCCAAGGGTTCAGACATCATTGAGATTTTTAATCTACATATCTGAAACAATCAGAAAACAGCTCCAAACCGTGAATGAAGCTGTGCTGTTGAGGTCATTTAGTTCTCAAAGTGATGGGAGAATGAGCAGAGTTCAGGTCTGATTAGGAGAAGCCTTGTCATCATAATAGGTTGCCTGCTACTTACTGAGCATGCGCCCAGCTGATACTAAGGCCTGCAGGATGGTCCCATCATTGTTCTTCAAGAACCCTACGGAATAGGTACTCAGCATTTCCATTTTATGGATAAGAAACTGAGGCTCAGAGGTAAAACAACTTGCCAAGGAACTCAGTGAAGGAAGAGCCAGGATTTAAATCCTGTGTATCTGATCACTCAGCCTTCCTCTTCACTGCTTTGTTACTTCACTTCTCTTTCCATGAAGAGTTTTGTTTTGGGGGTTTTTTTGTTTGTTTTGCTTGGTTTGGTTTTGGTGGGGCTGGGATTTGATCTGCAAGTAGAAAAGCTAGTTGTCAAACAGGAGGCTGCCCTGAGGGAGAGGAGCAGGAATTGGAAACAGCACTTGCAAAGGTGTAAGAGTTCCAACAAGCTAGATGTGAGCAAGATGTTGAGGAAACCAATGTTTCCTCAGGAAAATGAGCAGTCGGTGGGTCTCTAGGTAGGCATAGCATTCCCTGTGCGTAGGAAGGATAAGAGGCTAGACAGTGAGAAGCCCCTTGGGCTGGATAGCTGCGTATTTGTGAAGACTCCAAATAACAAACCAAACCAGGCTGACAAAAGCTATCCCCCTCCATCTAAAAACCCAATAACCTTGACAAAGGACAAGTGGATGGGGTGGGGGTGGGACCTGAATGTGAGAAATTCAAGGAAAAACCATTGCCACTCCAACAGCAAAGCTCTGAGGAAAAAATGTGAGATCCTCACAAAGGAAAGAGTATGCAGGACTGAGGAAATGCTCCAGTTTATGCCTTATCATTTAGATTAAATCCCCTCTCACATGGGCACTTCCATCGGCTGAAAACAGAGAATTTGAAAGCTACAAGGAATTTCAAGTAACATTCAGTGATCATCCCTGCCACCACCAGTCCCAGCCACACAGACCCTTCCATGCTCCAGTCCTGGTAAGATGTAACTGTATTCAATCCAGATGGCTCAGAACCTCCAAGGAAGGGAACACTGCACATCCTCCTCTAATCCATTCTTACATTAAGATCGTCTGTACATGAGAGCTTTAAAATGCTGTGGTTTCAACCTACTCCTCTTTTTCCAGTCTGCAGGAGCTCTCACACCTTTAATCCTGAGGTTCAAAATGTTTTTTACACAATGTACATCCATTGTTAAACATAGTTATCTCTCGGATATTAGATTGTAGACTTCCTGTTTTTCACATTTTTATATTTTTAGCCAACTATGTTATTATCTGTACTCCCAGCTCTCAATAAGAACTCTGCATGGAGCATTATTTAGTTGTCTTTCCCTTTTTCTGCAGGTTGAATACTCCTAGTTTCAACCAAGGTTGACGATGACTCAGTTTCCTCTGTAGGTCAGGTGGGTGACATCAAGAAATGAGCAGGAGGAAGTTCAGAGCAGTGCAGGTGATCAGGACCCTGGCAATCTGCAGAGGACACACCTGCTCAGAAGGCACTCAAACCCTGCCATCTTTCCTCACGAGCACTTTTCTCCATCCTTTATTTCCTGGTTCTTCAGCTTTCTAAAGTACTATGTGGGCTCCTAAAAGAAAACACCTTCATTTCATGACTTGAAGACACGCCTACTCCTGGAGCATCAACAGAAATGTGGGTCCCATGATGAAGATGAGTTAGAAGGCAGGGTTTATACTTGCAAAGGCTCATCAGTCCCCTAAGTTCCAGGAGAGTGCATAAGGGATGACTCCCCTCTTCCCAGGCACAGATCCCAGGGAAACAGTCATTCACATACTTCACTCTGCATTAGCTTGGGTGCCATGGCAACAAGGCGTCACATCCAGAGCAGATGGTACTGTAGACTGTCTGTCACATGGCACCTCTTCTGACAGGCCAGGCCACTTCACCATGCAGGCTTGCCTCTCTGTCCAGCTGGCATAGAGTAGCACCTGGTAACTATTGCTGCCCTGAGCCAGCAGATGGCAGGGTGGGCTGAGATGTGGGGGAAAAAGGCTGTTTTGAGCTGAGTTCAAGATGGGGAAGCCTACAGATCTTTAGGGTACACAGACAAGTCAACACAGCATCCAAACTCCCAGCAAGGGTATGAGGCTGGGAAAAGAGTCAGTTGAGCAAGGCCAAAATAATCATAGGCTGGCCCTGAGAGACTGAGATAAGACAGCATTGCACAGTCTCGGTCCCCATCTGTAACATGGGCAATGGCTGCTCCCAGCCAAAGGCACCTTCCTGAACACTGACCTTCTTCAGCTCTTCATTGTTTTGTAGTCTTGGGTTTTATAGCACTGCCTGGTGGAGATGCCACTTGGGAGCCGAGCCTCGCATTCTCACTGTACGATAAGCACAAAAGCACCAAGTCTAATACCTGGACCAAGAGGTTGCAGAGATAAGCGGCTCAACTTTACCCCCACATGGCCCTGGGCTTGGTACCCAGCATGCAACCAGAGGCATATGTTGGGACAAATTGAAAGTGTGTGACGCAAATCCAGCAGTGACCTCTGACTGTAACTGGGTTGGGTTGTGTGTGTGTTTAAGGCAGGATGCTGGCTATAGAACATTTTGTGAGATATCCTGAGCCCTGACAGTACCAGAGAAATTCTGACGTACTTAGTCCAGGGTGATAAATGAGTGTTTCACTTCCTGCTTTGGAATTCTTTCCAGTCACAAGATCATCGGTGTCTCCCAGGCCCATGGCCAAAGTTTTCATGAGAATGATACTCATGCCTGCCCACGTGGACAGCGGTGCTCCTTTCCCAAAAGAAGGGTATTTGAACTTGGTGTGTTTCTTTTTCTTTACCCTCTTCTCAAGCTTTTCTGTCACCAGGGATTTTTTTTTTTTTTGGAGGGTGCCTATCTGGAGTAGCAAACATAAATCATAGATAGTCCCCTGAACTCCAGCATCAGCACCATCACCAATAATCTGGGGACCAAACCAGGCCAGAGACAAAGAAGGAAAGAGGTACCACCAGCTCTTAAGATGCATCTGGACATTAGTGCTGGGTACTTTCTAGAGAATCATTAGAAGATATGGGCTTAGAGGAATCAGACAGTTTATTAACAGAATATATTTTATGTTTTCATTTTTATTTGGAACCTCAAAGAAAAGGAGCAGAAACAGATCGACTCCCAAGACCACCCTGACACAGAATCATTACATGTTGGGAATTTTGGATGGTGCAAGGGGTACCGTGAGGCTCAGCAAACCAGCCCAAAATCAAAGGCATTAGGATTGTTCTGGAAGTAGAGATTCAAGAAGCCCAGGAAAACGTTCTTGTCTATGAGCAGAGCACTGACTGCGGGGTCCTGCTTCATGGCAGCTATCCAGACCCGTAGTGATGGGGTATGATTCACGCAGCTGCAAGACAGGAAAGAGGCATCAGCACTTCCCAGGCTGAGGCATCAGGACAAGAGGACCTTTACTGCCTTTTAGGTTTTAAGAAACAGAAGATTGGCTTATTTGGGGAGTATACTTAATTGTCTTGTTCTTAAGTGAGCATGATCATTTAGTGGAGAAAAATCTTATTTGGGGAACAGCTGCATATGTTTTTTCACTGTAAATATTACTATTGCTGCTAACAACACAGTGAAATACCCAGGACTGAGGCTCTGGGGGAATCAGGTGTCTGTACTTCATTGTTTACTGGAAAAGAGCAAACAATCTTGAGTTATTTGTGATCTTACTTTAGGAGGGTTGAAAAACATAGAGACAAGTATTTTCCAAAACATTTTTTGAATGATCAAAAACATCATCAATATTGAAATAATGATGCTGGATCAGAGAATTTAAGTCGAGGGCCTGCAGGGCAGCAAATGAGAGTGCAGGGCAAGTGGTGAGATTTCCTAATGGATCTAGGCTTAATTACCTTATCTTAGGAAGAAATGTTCTTGTAACTTATAGGAGAGTTCAAATATCCAAGTATCTTATGTCTGATCTTATGTCCCCTCCTGAGACAGCAGGCTTTGAAGCACTATGGGAGGCTTTTGTCCACAGGATTTTATGCACAAAAATATAGGATAAGATGTGAGTCTGCAGTTAGTGGGAGAATACAAGTGCTTTTTGTCACTCAAGAGCAATTTTGCAACCACATGGTCAAAGTCTTACTCTGCTATCCCATATACATCCAGTCGCTCAAACCAGGGCCAGAAGAGGTAATCGACCATGGATATACGATCTCCACCAAAGAATGTGGTGTTTTGATATTCAAGAATCTAGAAATATAAGCAGAACAACAGCAAGATAATTTATGTATCAGCTGGCATGTATTGAACTGACAAATACCAGATTAATTCCAAAAGAGGGAGAACTAAGGCTTCGATTCCTCTTCCTATTTTTAGGAGACTGCGTCTTCCCTTTTCCTGAAGTTTCCTCTCCCTTCCTTAGGGTCACACTGCTGGTCACATCCTGTCCTTTCCTGCCCCTCTGCTCTTCAACACTGGAATGATAGTGTGGTTCATCTGACTGGAGAATGTGGAAGGACAGCCCAGGCAGAGGTAGTTCATCCTTCCTCAGCCTAGAACAGGCTCCACTGTGTGCTAAGCTCTTTGTGGATCTGCTTCACCTGCCTCAGGCCAGTGGTGCCTATTACCTAGGGCCATAGAAGTCTCAGCCTGATGCTGAAGGCCAGCATTAGGAACCTTATTTGCTGTAGTTGTCACTCCCATTCCCAGCATGCTCTATCTAGTATAAAGGGGATACTGTATGTCTTACAATTCTTCCTTATCCCTCAATCAGCTCAAAGCTAAGGCAGGAAAGACCAGTGCTCTTTAGTGCCTCCAGACATCCCAGCACTGTCTTTCTATCATGATTTCTTCTTTTATTTGAGTTCTGCAAACTTCACACTTGTTGGCCATCAACACTATCAGCTTTTTACACTAAAATAAAATTTCTCTTTCTGAAGTGGGACAAACTAACTCAGGTAGATGGACTATAAAGAAAACAGATACACTCACAACGGACAGCCAGTACCTAAAAAATTTTAAAAAAACAAAAGTGTGCTTGGCAGAGGTTATTGTGAGTTACGTCTTCTCAAAGAGAAAAGTATGGTGCAATTACCTAGTTAGTCAAGCCAAGTATTCACTAGACCTGTATAACTCATTACCAACTCTTTACCAACTTGTTACCTGCTTTCCCTTTGCTGCAAATGTATATTTCTGGGCCCAGGTCAGTTGGGGGAGCTAAGTTAATCAGGTGTTTCCATTCTGAGATGCTGGAGATCTGGTGAGTGACAGAGGTATACTGAGGGTTAACCTGCAATTGGGTTCTTGGGTACAAATGGCACCAGTGAACACACACTAGACCTGCTCTCATGTTGAGGTATGATCTTGGCTTTATAGTCAAGAAGGAGAGTTCTGGATCCAGCAGACCTGGTACTACACTGAGTTTTACTTCTGATTCAAATTGGAACCCAGGGAAACTTGTCTCCCTCTTCCTCCAAGCCTTAATGTTCTCACATGCAAAATGCTGGTAATGTGAGTACCCATTCTCAGAGGTTGACAGGAGTGACATGGTCGTGCATGAAAAATAGTCTGGTGCTATTCAGTCAATGTGGGTTCTCCTGATGAGTAAGATCCCTTAAGTCTACATCCACAGAAAGCAAATCTTTCCTGATGAAGGGTCAAGGAGCTCCTCTACCCACCAAACCTTTTCAGAGGGGAAAACAAGTCTTGTTGCCCTAAAGTCTAAGTCTTCATATTTCTCAGGGTGGTAGAAACAGGTTCTCCAATCATTGTCCTGAAAGTCTGGAAAAATGTTCAGGGCATTACTTTGTTCAAAAAAGCTAACAGAATGGTACTAAAACAACAAATTCTGAACAATGAAAACTCAACACAGTGGAACTTTCATAACTTGTATAACCAAGATCTGACTTGGAGAGGAAAGGAGCAAGTAATTCAGTTTTATAGGTTCTAATGGCTCTAAACTTCCTTTTTTTGCTGAGGAATAGATACCAATTATCCTTATTACTGTCTTTGAAATGTACACCTGTCTTCAAATGTATACATGTAGCTTGTTGCTGGGCTTCATGATACAACTGAGAACCAAATCTAAACTGATGGGCTCCAGAACATCTGTGTAATTCTGCTGCTTTACAGAGCAGAAATGTTCTTGGAAAAGTCCTTGTCCAAGCAAATCAAATGTAGGTGGTAATGGAACCTATGGTGGGTCCTTTGGTAAAGTGATGAGATAATTTTGCAAATGAACAACTGCTTAGTAATTGATGTTATTTAGCATATATTTTTAAAGCATTCCACTTACTCAAAGTAGGAGCCTGCTTTTAAGTATATAAGATCTTATAGACACTATTAATTTTTATACAAACACCCATGAAGTATAAATCTCATCTAGGTACTTGGCAGAGTAAAAATAAACTCTCACTATGGATAAACCAGATCAACAACTCTTCAGCAGTTCCTCAAAATGCCCATACACATCTCTCAGGCTTTCTTAGAGCTCAGGGTGACTTGGGACCACTCACATCAAAACCACTGGGAGTTCTTGATGCTCCTACAGATGCTTGAGCCCTGCCCCAGACAGCATTTCTCCAATTTCATGCAGAACAAGTCTGAAAATCCATAGAGGAAAGCTATTTCCCCCAAACCTAGCACACAGTGCTGGCTGCTTTACAAATGCATTCAATGGTGCAGGAGAACACTTTGGCCAGGCCTCCAAGGAGGTTTACTGTGGTCTTTAGTACCCTCAACAGGACAGCTCCCTTCTGTGAAAATCTGGTACCCTCCAGACATGTAAAATTATTTTCCTTTTAGTCATCACAATGTAGACATGGTGCAAAAAAAGCATTTGATGATCTGAGTATTAGAAAAAAATCTATTTTAAAATGTTCTGTTTTCCAAGTCTCTGAAAAGGAAGACTATACATGTGATAAAGGGTAACTAGTGAGCAATGCCAATAAAGGAGGGACTGTTTTGGTATGATGAAGAGAAACTATTTCCATCCCTGAACCTGAAAGCCTGTCATCCACCAGGGCCTCTCTGGCTCCCCCTGAGGGATAAAGAAAGTGGGCATTTTAAAGTCAGCCCTGGAGCTCAGAAGAGCGCAGGGCTCCCCCCTGGTGGCCATCAGGGGGAGATGCGGTGGCTGCGGCCCCCTCCAAAAGGTGCCAGAGAAGGAAAAATAAATCTATCAGGCTTTTGAAAGAGAAGCCAGATCAAAAGAGAAGAGAAACCTACAGTTCTTTAAACCAGGCATTCTAAAAATCTCCAGTCTAAGGTCTCGGACTCTTCTGTTCAGCCTCAATAATGGAGCTTCAAACCTTGGAGTGGCCGTCTGCCTTTCACCACCATCTTTTACTTTGTCGCCAAGAAATCCCCAGCGTCCAGTCCCAAAACACTGTGGTGGCTCCCAGTGGCACCACGGAACTTGATGGAGTGGGGAGACAGCATTTTTTCTTGTTGGAAATAATTCTTAAGAAGTAGTCAACTCCCATCCCAAAGAAAAACACACAAAGCCACCTGCTAGTACAGGAGCAAACTATACAAGCCTTTAACTAGAAGCAGCAGCAAAGTACTATGGGGTGGAAATGTTTTGAGATCATAAAAGATAAGTAAAGATTCTCAAGATTCTAAATTTCAGGTTCCTGCTACCCCGAGACAACTGAGGCTGAGCTAAGGATGAGATGGACTGATTTCCGGTAAAACAAAAGCATTTTTCCTCTAATACAAAGTCTGCAGCAAGTTGTCTTATGCAGATGCAAAATACAACTTGTCAACAGTTGGGGATTAAAGGGACACTGAAAATCCTTTGCTGGCATTGTTTCATTCTTTTGTTAAAAAAATTCATTTGAATTTTTTCATAAGAAAGTAGGTCATGCCTGACCAGTCAAATGCCTGTAAAGCAATTAGTGGTTGATGTAAATATAAATGATTATCAGTCTCTGAAGGAGAAGAGGGCTTCCTATGTGCAAAATAGTGGAATAAAGCACAATATTTTAAAATATTATACTTCTAAATTCACAAAAGAAAAGTTAGATTAAAAGTTAAAAGAAAACAGCAGGCACCAGTGGTTTACACCTGTAATCCTGGCCACTCAGGAGGCACAGATCAGGAGGATCAAGATTCGGAGCCAGTCCAGGCAAATAGTTCATGAGAACCCCCCAACTCGAAAACACCCATCACAAAACAGGACTGGTGTGGAGTGGCTCAAGATGTAGGCCCTGAGTTCAAACCCCAGTACTGAAAAAAAAAAAAGTTAAAAGAAAATAAAAATGTGATTTAAAAGCAGTCAAGTAGCTGCTTGGGAGGTAGAGATAGGAGGGTCATTGTTTGAAGCCAGCCTGGGCAAAAGTGGTGAAGGGCAAGTTCAAAGCCCTGAGTTTGAAACCCAGTACTGCCAAAAAAAAAAAAAAAAAGTCCAAATACCCTTATCTAGTGTGCTGAATAAGCAACTTCCTGGTTTATACAAGTGGCAAATCATGAAGCCACTAAAAAGTGATTTTTTTTCTATTTAAAAAAAAAATAACATGTGTAGTAAATACACTCTCACTTTTAAAAAAAAAGTTCAAACACATATTGAGGATGTTGCTACGGGCTACAGTGCTTGCCTAACATGTTTGAGGCCCTGGGTTCAATCCCCAGCACTGCAAAAAAAAAAAAAGATCAAATCAAATCAAACACAGAAGACCCTCCCCTCCACCCCTGCCCTGGACCACTTCCCTTTCCCATCCCAGTTGTAGTAGGTACCCTTCTCAGTGTAGCCACTATCAAAAGTTTGATGTGTATCTCTCCATACAGTTTTCTAGGCATTTACTTACATGCATATGTACCCACATGTATACAAGGCTTTGTTTTTCCTCTACTAAAATGGGATCACACTAGCTATATCACTGTTAATTAATTGAATATTTCTAGGCAGTGTTTTCATATCAGTACTCAGAGGCCTACTACATTAATTTTTAACTCCTCCACAAATTTTACAAAATGAATATAATTTACTTAGCCATTCTCCATCTAATGGATATTAAGGTTTCTTATTTTCCACCACAAATAATGTTGGCCTAATAAACACCTTTGTACATATGAATAAGCACTTATAGAGTTAATAAGGAAAATCTTTGCATAATATGGTAACCAAGTTCTATGGAGAGCCTAACTTCAACTACATACAAAAATGCATACCAGAAAAGGAAAGAAAATAAGAACAACTACTAATTTTTAATTCAAGAAGAGTAAAAATAATTTAAATAATAAGAATAATG